GCATTTTTTATTTTAAACTAAAAAAATAGTTAATTCAAAAGACTTAACTATATTTTATGTTATAAAAATAACATTTTGAAACCTTTTAAATGCATCATTTTACGTGAATCGCCAAAAGCTGCAGATTCTGCTCGGTTTCTGTTGCCAATCTGCCGTCAAGTCATGTTAGCAGATCTTGCTCGGTTTCTGCAGCCAATCTGCTGTCAGATTTTGTGAGAAAGATCTGCTCGATTTTTGGCACCAATTTGTAGACTTAATCAATAATAACAACTTCTGTATCAGATTTGTAGCCTTTTTGTTGACAACAGGTGATAGCAGACACTTGCATGATCTGCTTTTGACAGACTTGGCTATCTGGGAATTTCTGACTGCGCAGACCTTGGCAACAGAAACTGTGTGCAGAAACGCTACAATACTTGGTGCTGCCAAAACTGTTAGCACATAGAGACAAAAAACGCAACAACTCTGTTGGCAAATACATGAGAGCATTGCGGCCAAAATGATTCCATATATGTTAGTGAAATTGACAACAAATAGATGGTCGATAGCAAGCAGAACTGCTTTTAGCAATACCGTGACCAAACAGTCCGNAAAACCGTATGAGCATCTGTTTATGACAAAACGTTGACCGCAATCGGGTCGATCTGTTGGACGCATTGACGACAGATTGCCAGCAAACGCCAAGCAGATCTGTTCGTGCATACGTGCGGACTGTTTGCACGCAAGACTACTAGACTGTCTGTTTGACATCTAGACAACAAAATGGCGATTATCTACGATCGTATCTGTCGCCTGTGTTGATAACAGATAGTTAACAGACATTGAACAGTCTGTCTTCTTTTACAGTTAGATCTTGTTTATGCGGGCAATAACTGTTAACTTATGCCGGAACCGGTAAAGTTCAACTGTAAGATATTAATACTTCTGTTTATACGCATTCGGCAATAAAGCACTCATAAATGTAATGTATTCCCTGACGAAAATAAGAAATCATAATATGAAGAAAATAATATAAGTGCTTGTGTGTGTGTGTGTGTGTGTGTGTGTGTGAAAGAATTTATTTCAACAAAATAATGTTTTATTAAGTTTTTTTTTTCATTAAATAAATCATTATTTAATGAAAAAATCAATTTTTAACATAAATGTAACAGACTATATTTGATTTAAATATAGCATTATATGAGACACAGTGTTAAAATTTGGTTGCGTTGTAAAAATGTACTTTAAATCATATTTAATAGTAATAAGAGATTAATATTTTTACTCATTGCAGGTACATTGCACTGCAATATTTTTAATAAAATAATATTTTAAAGAAATAATAAATAAACTGTGTAAGATAGCTTGAGAATAAGTAGATAAAAATAATCACATTTTAGTAAGGAACAAGTAGTCTTGCGGACTCTGACAATGTGTGCAGGTGCTGCGAATAGACAGGCGTCTCGAGTTCGAATCCCGCTATCATCTTAGGATTTTTTCAGGTCCGATTCCTTTTAATGGAATTTATCAGTTGATTGGCGAGCTAAACTGGGCTTCCAAAAAAATTAATTCAAGATAAATCTCTTAGATGTGTAAAAACGCGAGTCGCGAAAAATTCTTTTATTGAATTTTTAGATGTATTTAACTTAATAAACTATTTTGTTTCGTCTCACGCTTAACGTAAACACTATGCAAACTTTCAGAAACGCTTTATACAAACGCCTTTCAAACGCTGTAGCGTTGCAATTTCCGCCCTATGAATTCTCTACTGACCGTTTCAAAACTTTCAACGAATTTCCGCAAAACGCTCATACAAACGTCAAATAAACGCTTATAAAACTTCTCATTTTCATCAGGGTTATACTCGTACTTATTGAGTAATATGAAACAATGGGTGCTTTCCAGCTACAGTCAACACTGTTTAACACAATGTCCACTAGTGTGAATGAGATACATTGATATGCTCTTTCTCACGCTAATAGACAGTATGTTATACATTTAACCTTAATTTTCTCGGAAATTTGACGTGCCCTAATAGGCAAATTGTGAAAATATTGCACAAAAATGGCATCATGAATAACGACGATCCTGCAATGATTGCACTAAGATGATTCGTCATAACGCAACAGTTTTGTCGAAATTAAATTTTGTAAATAATATTTGTCAAAAATTGCGAAAAAATCGTTATGCATTTCCATAAGTATATATCCTGATAGGAAACCATTTACAAAATTATGTGACGAAATCTTGCGCTAAAATTGTAATTTACAATTATACAGACATATTTTAGGAAATAGATTAAAAACATTTATCTTTTCTGAAATATTTGTAGTTGTTTGCAAAATTACTTTCCAAATACTATTTCGGCAAAAGAATAACGATATGGCTACATCTTAGCAGTATATTTGCAAAATTAATTTCACAAAGAAATTGTCCAATAATTGAGAAAAGAAATTCAGCTATGTGATGTTTAAAATGTAGAAATATAATTGCATATGAAGAAATGCAAGAAATCGTCGTCACTCATGATGTCATATTTGTGCAATATTTCCACAATTTGCCTATTGGAAGTATATACTGTGGAAATGCATAACGACTTTTTCGCAATTTTTGACAAATATTATTTACAACATTTTATTTCGACAAAACTGTTGCGTTATGGCGAATCATTAGTGCAATCATTGCAAAATCGTCGCCATTTATGATGCCATTTTTGTGCAATATTTTCACAAATGTGCCTATTAGGGTATATGAATTAAGTTGATTTCTTCATATGCAATTATATTTCTACATATTTTAAACATCACATAGCTGAAATTTTTTTCTCAATTATTGGACAATTTATTTTTTAAATTAAGTTTGCAAATATACTGCTAAGATAATTCGCTATATCGTTATTCTTTTGCTGAAATAGTATTCGGAAAGTAATTTTGCAAACAACTACAAAAAATTTTTATAAAAGATCAATGTTTTTACATCTCTCTATTTCCTAAAATATATCTATATAATTGCAAATTACAATTTTAGTGCAAGATTTTGTCACATAATTTTATAAATGTTATCCTATCAGTGTGGTAGGTCAATTTCGCCGCCGGATTTGTTTCCAGTGACCAAAAATCCATTAAAAAACACTTTATTCAAGTATCAGCATATATTAACAAAACATTTATTCGCGTTGTAAAAATGTACTTTAAATTATATTTAATAATAAGAAGAAAAGTATTTTTATTTATTGTTACAGGTACATTGCATTGCAACATTTTTAGTAAAATAATTTAAATAAGTAATAAATGAAATGTAAGATAGCTTGAGAATAAGTAGATAAAAATAATTATACGTCAGTAAGGAACACAAGTGGTCTCGCGGACTGAGTGCTGGGGCTGCGAATATTGGAGGTCTCGAGTTCAAATCTCCGCTTTTTTATCACATTAGGATTTTTTCAGGTTCTCGGTCTCTTTCAATGGAGTTCATCGGTTGATCAGCGAGCTAAATCAGACTTCTAGAAATTAATTTGAGTGAAATCTCGAATTAATTCTCCTCCGACAAGGCAATATACCATTGATTTTCTTTTTTTTTTTAGTAGTTCCACTTGGATTCTAGGCGACAGATCTGATCTGCATTTGGTAACAATCTGTCGGCGCTTCTGACGACAGATTTAGTCTGTATTTGCTACTGTTTTGTTGACAGTTCTAGTAACAGATACCTATGATGTGTATTTGGCGCGATTTTGGCGCGTCACTTTGGCTTTGCTTTGCTAGTGGCAGACTTGTTATGATTTTGATCTTATTTTGACATCTCAAATGTTTGACAGATATGGTCGCCAAACCATATCTTACTGAGGACACAGATGGATATGCATTTGGTCTACAAATTTCGCCGGCGGTTGGCGATAAAACCGCGACATCTCGCAACTAAATTGTTTGCTGGGTTAAAGACATACCGTAACTCAGTGTTGACATTGTGTTTGACTTAAGAAATTTTAATACATTGACATACTATTGCTTTGACAACACCATTTAATCTGCTAGACACAATAACTCACGCGCTGATCGGACCCCTTTCGATTTCTTTTCAAATATGTAAGTTTTTTTGCGATTGCGGAGATTTATTATCTTTATTTTTTCATTTATTTCTCAAACTTTGTATTTATAAGTTTTGTAATTATTATTACAAAATATTTTGGTAATATTTATTTTTGTATTTATAAATTTTGTAATTATTACAGATTGTCACTGAAGAAGATCCCACTGTAGATTGAAACGTTTGACAATTCAATAAACAAATATATTTACCAACAGTATCAAGATTTGCTCGTATTGGCTCTTTTCCAAATTTATTGAAATTTTCACGAGCGGATATATTATTTATTAATTGAAGTGATTTCTTTTATTAACAAAACGAGTTTTAACAAATTATTAACGGAACGATTTATTTTATTAAGAATGAAATAATATATAAATATTATCGTTTTAGTAGGAGATAGATATAAAGCGGAAACAGAGCAAGAGATCAGCGATGACGGTCCTATGATGACTAAAACAGTAATAATTACTCTTAGCGTAGCTACGGGATATATGGTGTTTGTAATTGGTTTGATGTTGTACTGTCGTTATGATCGTCGCCGCAGGAAGCGACAATATGCACAGCATCAAACAGAAGGTTTGTGTTGGTCAATATTCAAACATGTAATATTTTAATGACGCGTATTGTATGAAAACGTGTATTTAAAAAATTCATCGTAATATATTTTTGAATTCTAGAAAAAATGGAAAACGGCGATATAAGAGAGGAACAAACGGAGTTGAAGGAAACAGGCACTAAAGTAAACTCAACAATAAACAAGAAGAAAGAAAATCGCGATTCTCACAAGAGTGACGGCGCAGATACAGCTCAGAGTCAAAGTAGTAATCAGTCTAAGAAATCTAAGTCAAATTACGACAAAATCGCTGTCTCGCGAAACAATTTAAAGGAATTGAAACCTCTCGGCCGAGGTGAATTTGGTGAAATCTATACTACAAAGTATCAAGTGGACGGTGATAAGGAATCCTTGGTTATGGTAAAAAGTCTAACAAATACGAAGGATGAAATCGCTCTTCAAGAATTTAAGCGTCATTTAGATCTTCTGCACAAGCTCAATCATGAGAATGTTGCCAAGTTGATTGGTCTGTGTCGAGAGGAGGAACCCGACTATATGATTCTAGAGTATACCGATTGGGGCGATCTGAAACAGTTCTTGATAGCTTCGCGGAAGGATAATAATGCAAGTCCAACACATGAATCAAAGCCACGCGCGCCTCAGCTGTCAGTGGCGCAAATACTATCGCTGTCGAATCAAGCTGCGAAGGGCTTAAAACACATAGCCGATAATCGATTGGTCCATAAGGACATAGCTGCTCGTAACTGTCTAATTGCTAGTAATCTAACGATCAAGATCTCGTTGCCGTGTATGACCAAAGAGCCGTACTCTCAAGAGTATACAAAGCATCGAAACCAAGTGATCCCACTGAGATGGTTGCCCTATGAAGCTGTATACGAGGACGAGCATTCCACCAAGAGTGATGTATATTCGTTCTCATGCTTAGTTTGGGAGATGTTTCATCAAGGCGAATTGCCGTTTAGCAAGATGAACGACGAGTCCGTGTTGGCTCAACTCAAGGCGCAAACGCTCACATGGAAAGCGCACAAAGCGGCACCGCCGGCTCTTCAAGAGCTTCAAGTACAGTGCTGGGCAAAAGATCCGCGCGAGAGACCGACCTTCGACGAGGTGGTCTCAAAAATAGGTGAAATTGTGGTCGACAGTTGTCTGTAAGCTAAAAAATCGCTGTCGTATATTGTAAGGCTCTAAATATTGGAAATATTGCAATAGTAATAATTGTGCGGAGCTGTTGAGAGGTAAGGCTGACGAGCGCCAATGATCATGCGGCGATTAATCCCTCCAATGCAAAGAGGAGGAGCTCGAGAACGCGCCGTAGATTCGGATACGAGAATAATTAACTGGTTTTCACACACGTACACGTTAACGCGCTTCGTATGAAATTATATATACACGTAATGGATCGTTAGAAATTCTGTTTTTTGTAAATGGAAGATGCTTGCTCAGTAATCATTGACTGCGTGAGGAATGTATTTCACAATTATGTGTTTCAGTAATATTATCGGTACGTTTGTGCGTGTATCGCTAAATGTGATATGTAGATCAGACTTTCACATGAAATTCAATATGCGCAATGCATGCGTCAATGATGCATGCATATCATTTAATACTCATCGTTATACATGATCAAATAATATCTCTACTGTAGGAGTTTTTATATATTTTACACATAAAGCGCTTAGAAGATTTAGACTTTTTACTTATCTCTTTTATCATTGTAGATTTAGTATTTTTTCCGATCTTATTATATGAACGTCATTTTTTTAAGTCACAAAACAAAGCAATTTCTTTCGTTATTCTTCTTTTTATATATCAAACGTTTATCTCGATTTCTTGTGTCGTTTTCATATTTTTATAAACAGAACATAATAAGACTATTGGTTCCACAATAATTATTCATATTACAGTATTTTTGTCGTGTTCATTAGTTCGGTAAGAAAACAATATTTATTTCGAATAGCATCATCTCCACTCCAATGACTGTTTTATTTGAACTAAGTAAATATGGGCCCATTATACGTTACACAATTAACGCAATACTTAGTATATATACAGTGTATCATTATAATATTAGTCATTGATATAATAATAGTTATGATCACAACACATCGAATACTCGTAAGATACGTTAATCATTAGTTGAAGCCGAAAACTGATGGCGGGAACGTTCAATCAAATCACTTAAAATGTGAGGTTGATATAATGGACTATAATTGACTATATAATTGAATGTCTCTCTTTTGGCGATCAGATCCGGCACTGCAATGCATATTAAGAAAGTATCATGACCATATCAAATAAGAAAAACAATCTTAACTCTGCCTATTTACTCTTACACGCGCTACATCGCTAAGACGTAAAACCTAAGAATTATTTATACCATATATATATATTTATGTGTGTGATAAGAGAAAGCATGCAATTTTGAGACCACTCACACTCGACGAAAAAGACGGCCTTTGTACATACTAATGGTACGTGTAAGGTTTTTTTAAGCATGAAAAATTAGCATGTGAATTATGATATTAATTTTTTATTGATGTGATTATATATATTTGAATTTTCCTATGACTTTTTACTGGAAAAAATTTCATTGCAACAGCATCACAGATAAAAAATCCACGCGCATGTCTAGATGACACGCAAAAAAATAACGATACAACATATACATAACTTGAAAACTATTTTTACACATGGAAATTAGTATTGACTAAATAACTCGCGATATTTTTACATCCAGAATTTACGGTTCGAGATAAATAGCATGCGTGAACAATCTATTCAATATAATGGTCCAAAATAAGAAAAATATTCTGTATGCATTTGACTTTTATTTATTCGATTTATAATATCAATTTTTCATAACGATTTTTTTAGCATAGCGTAAACCGTGACAAGCATTTCACACAGAAACAAAAACTTTATTAGACATCTATTAGATATCGTATGGAGTTGTTGACGTCTAATGGAGTTTTTGTTCTCTATCTGTATGAGATGTTCTATCTCTGCATTTTATATTCTACGCAATATTCGCAAATCAATTATGACGCACATATTTGTTTCTTCCGTTTTATGCCAGACGTTGATGTTCCGAAAATCGAGATTCAAAAGGTACAAACAATGGTACTAGCATCACTTAGTCGTGCAGAGCGATAAAAACAAATACTTCTATTTGGTATTTGTGTAATGCAAAAAAATTACGATCACGACAAATACGATCTTATTTAATATAAGAAACATTCACCGAATATATACACATGTTGGATATATACCGCATATAAATTTTCGAAAATCTTCCGCTTATGAAACCGTAGGTAGTTTCCGTGTGAACGCTCTAATTAAGAATATGTAAAAGTACGAACTGAATAAATTGTTACGCGGTAACGAATCACCAATAATTCTTAGAATGTCTACAAGTGAATTTTATAATGCTTAAATGTTCGCTATGTTAATTAACATATACGTCAAGAAATATACTTGTGATTAGTATTGACGATCGTACTTAATAATATGAAAAATCTGCAGCATATTTTTGAAGTTTAATTTAAAGAGAACTTTCGACAGATTTGGGAGTAAATTAAAATTTCTTTAAGAGCAAAATTTGCAATACAATAAAAAATAATGTATTTTTACAATTAAAATACTAAATTGCTATCTTTATTGAATAGAAATTTTTACTAATAAATTTCAGTCAAATAATAAAATATTTAAGTGCAAGAAGGGATTCATATTCATATATCTGAGTACGACCACTGCCTGTAACATAAATTGCGCTAGGAGTATATCTTACAGTAATCTAGCCCGCACTATAAATACGTAAATTAAAATGCCAATTAATTATCTAAAGTCTTATGTGCTCATATCATTCGCTCAGATATTCATCGTGAACGATTACTGATTAAAAAGAGCAAAAACAGTAAGGCACAGTTATTATGCTGTGTTGATACATTTCATATGTAAAAGCTACTATTATATCGTCACTCCCTACGTATAATTCCGTAACTCCAAAACACAAATTTTAGAGGAGAGCAGTTTAAAAGTTTAAAGCTTCATATAGTTTCTCTAGTTAAGGGATATTTCGGTTTTAACTTTTTACCTTATGAATATTTTTTTAAATATTTGGTGACCATAGAGAACATGACTTTCTAAGTGTCACTATGCAATAAACTGAAAATCCTGTATGTGACACTTATGTAATTATACGTAGAGAGTGACGATATCTAATATGTCTAGTCATACAGGATGACAGAATGAACTGTGTACGGAAAAATCATTTGAATGACATTCATATCTTTAGGCGTTTCAAATCGATTTCTTTTTTTACGATATTTTGTAAATATATGTACTATTTTATTAACATGATACTTATATAAATTTTTGGAATATTATGTGCTATATAAATAAATAAAGAGCAAAAAATTAAAAACTAATTAACCTTTATTAAGGGGTTAAATAAATAAGTCATATATACACAAGATGTTCCAACTAACTTGAGCATCCTAAATATCTCGCTTATTTTTTATGATAGGAAGATGTCGAAAAGGGTTATTATTCACTTCGAAGAGACAAATACTGTAATAAACAAGAACTTTTTAGATTTGTTTTGACCTTGCTTGTCATATCGCAAAGATAAAAATATGTATTTTTAGATAAAAAACTGACAATGACCTTGAAATCCTAAAAAATATTACCTTGAGAAAAATTTTTTGTTTATTACAGTATTTGTCACCTCGAACTGAATAATAACCCTTTTCGGTATCCTATCATAAAAAATAAGCGAAATACTTAAGATGCTCAAATGGACCCTGTATATACAAGGTGTCTCATTTGAAGCGGAACAATGATATATCTCAAGAACCAATGTTTTGAATCAAAAAATGTTTCAGACGAAAGTTGTTCGGATTTGAGGGGGACAAATGATATTATCAAGGGTGCGTTCGCTTTGGACGCTTACGCGCTTTAAGCGTCAGTCTGTCTTTATTGTTGTTTAAATATAGAACAAAGATAGACTGATGCTCAAAGCGCGTAAGCACCCAAAGTGAACGCACCCCAAGTTGTTGTATGGCGCCACTTTCGAGATTTTATCATGGCAATTTTACTATTTTTTAAAATAGAAGTTGATTTTTTTCTTGAAATAAATGTTGTAGCTGACAATAAGACAAATACAACGGTTTTTCTATTTTTGAATTTGGATCCTTTTTCACTGAGGTACGTTTCAACATGTATTAACTGAATTAATTAAATTTATTAATTAAATTACGCTCCCACTCTTACAGAGTGCGTGACCTCAAACTTCTACTTCAGTTTCTCTGCTGCTGCTGCTATGTGTGGCACAGCAGAGATAAGGACTCCACGGTTCATCATTCCCGCGGTATTTAACGACTCCAAACCCTCTCTAGTGTGTGTGTGTGTGTGTGTGTGTGATGCGTGCGTATGACATCTAGTAGGTGGCCAACGAGATCATCTTATTTCTCTAGATTTTTTTCTGTGGAAATTCCTAAAAGATGCAGTTGACCGTCAACCACCAATCACTCAAGAAGATATGGAAAATTGCATCAAAGAAGCGTACCAAGCCGTCCCGACCCGCCGTCCTTATCTCTGATGTGACACACACACACACACACACACACACACAGCAGCAGTAGCAATAAAGAGAGAAAAAGAGAGAGAGAGAGAGAGGCTGAAGTAGAGAACGAAGGTCACGCACTCTGTAAGAGTGGAAGCGTTTTAATTTAATTAATAAATTCAATTAATTCAGTTAATTCATGTTGAAACGCTGTACCTCAGAGAAAAATGATCTAAACAATAGAAAAACCGTTGTATTTGTTTTATTGTCAGCTACAACATTTATTTTAAGAAAAAAATCAACTTCTATTTTAAAAAAATGGTAAAATTGCCATGATGAAATCTCGAAAGTGGCACTATTTATAACAAAATTAATAGTATTATTTGTCCCCCTCAAATTCGTACAACTTTCGCCTGAAACATTTTTTGATCCAAACATCAGTTCTTGAGATATATCACTGTTCCGCTTCAAATAGGACACACACACACACACTCTCTCTCTCTCTTTTTTTTATGAGAGGAAATGCATTATGTACCCCCGCCCCTGGGGATTTGCGCGGGGAGTGTGGGACTCTCACCCACTAAAACCCTTCAATGGCCTCCACCTGGCTTAGTGGGAAGACCCGTGGCAGTCGCGTGGCTATTGCTTCTCCGAGTCCTCCCTTGCCCTAGACAGTCCCCCAAGGGACAACGTCCCCTGTCACCGTTGCCCTTGGGGTCGTGGCGAGAGGAGGGGGCCATAGCCCCCCTCCCACCACCTTTCCCTGAGGACTGTGCAATGGCGTGCCAAGTTCCCCAACTTGGTCCAGGGGCCATGTCCGAGTCATGACCCCTCCGCCCCAAGCCAAGGTGGCCGCCCCCAAGCCGGACCTAATTGCCCGACTTGGAGAACTTAGGGCCTGGCTTCTGCCTTCCAGGTGAGGGTGGGGGGCCCGGATGGTGGTTGCCCCCTTTCTGCTGCTTGGGGGAAGGCTCCCTAGTGGAGCCTCCCCCAGAACCAGGCGCCTTGTGCGCCGCTCCCTTAGCCGGTCGGGGCCCAGCGATCTTACGATCTCTCACCCAGACCGCACTCCTCTTAGAGGAAGGGGGAGGCAAAATGCTTTCCTCCTTCTCCTTCTCTACCGCCGCCTCCCCTGAGTCCTTATTGAAGCCAGGGGTCCTCTCTTCAGGGGCTGGAGCCAAAGTCCGCGGGAAGCTCCTCGGTTCTCCCGGAGAAGGTGGATGGGAGAGACGGATCCCCCCATCCCTCCCCCTTCTCCGGCCAGAGTCTGGCCACACTTGCCACTGGGGAGATAAGATGGACTCCCTCCCCGTCCTCCTCCCAGGCGGAGGAGTCCCCTTCGGACCCGATCACTCGGGCCCTCCGCTTTCTCCTCACTTTCCTGATTGGGGAGGGGGAGATCAAAACTCCCTCCCCGCCTACCTTGCCGCTAGATGTTGGCAGGGGAGCCGATGAAACATCAGCGCCCCGCCTGGCGGCAGCGGACCTCTTTGGGACGGGGACGCAACTGGCGCCCCCCATCCGATGGTCCGATGGCTGCCCCCTAGTGGCGCACAAGGTGCATTTAGGGGCAGCCCGGCAACTGATGGCCAGGTGGCCATCCTCTCCGCATCTGTAGCACGCGCGGCTCCGGTCTACTCCGGAGCACGCACGCGCCACGTGGCCGTACTCGAGGCATTGGTAGCACTGCATACGCCGCGCCACCAATGCCTCCACGGAGAGGTTGAACCACCCTACTTGTATTCGCGTACCTCCCACCACTTTCCGGGCCGCCCCAACGCGCCCAGAAGATCCCATATCCGGTGGGGGAGGACCTAATCAGCCCGGTGCGAACCTCACCGGGCTGACATTTGCCTGTTGCTGCCAGAGCAGCAGCAATCTCCTCGGTGGTGAGGGTGGGCACCACGTCCTTGACACACACCTCAGCGTGCTTGACGGGACGGGTGAACCTCACCCCCTCCACTCCTGCCAAGGCTTCCGACGCTCTCTTGACCAGAGAGTCGGCCTTCTCCGCTCCCCCAGGCCCGGGTACCTGGAGGAGCATACCTCCGTTGACCGCCCTTTTGATTCGAAGGCCGGAAATTCTGACCTCCTTGATATCAACGGCGGCCGCCGCCTTCCTCAACGCCTCGGCATAGCTGCCGCCTTCCCCCACGGTTAGGAGGACGGCAGCCCCGGGAGGCATTCTGCCAAGTTTGGCCTTCTCCGCCCGCCCAGAACGCTGAGTCGCGTCCACGGGAGGTGCAGGAGGGCGACGTCCCATATCAGGAGGAGGGGGAGGGGGAAAATCTTTCCCTCTCCGTCGCGCTTTGCGCCCCACCACCGCCGCCCAGGTGGTCGGGGTCGGTCCGGTAGCGGGCGCACTGGGAAGGGCGAGCTCCCTCCTAATGAGGGAGATAATTCGCCTCTCCATTTCCCTCCCTATCCCGTCCGCCAGAAGGCGGACGCATCTCTCCTCCGAGAGGTCTACCGTCGTAGGGACATCAACCCCCAGGGGCTTGAAACCCCCCTCCTCGGTCTGCAACCTTCGGGTATCCATCATCGGCGGCGTGGCGGGTCCGCTGGTAATCATGGTCAGCGCCACGTTCGCTGGCTGCGGGACCAGGGCAGGCTCACCCGCCTGCGTCCCGCAGTGCGCTGTCTCTTTCCTCGACGCGCCTACCAAGGAAAATCCTTTTTCATAAGCTGCGTCGAGCATTTCCCGCACTTTTTTATATTTGGAGACCGTTACTCGGGCCGCCTCCTTGGAGAGCCGGAGCTTTTCCTCCAGAGTCCTGACGCGTTCTTCCATGAGCGCACCAGACTCTCCCAGCACTGGCCTCGCCGACTCCCCGGGATGAAAGGAGAGGGCAACCATGCCCTCTGCAAGTCCTTTTATCGTGGCCGCCACGTCCTTCAAGATCCTCACATATCTCCCAGCGAGGTTCTTGTACGTGGTGGCCATCTTCAACACCGCCTCCGCGGCCAAGTAGGTTTTTTGGACCATCTCAGCAGCGGAGGAAACCAGCCCCGGGAGGCTGGAGGACCTCATCTCCACGGTGTCTCTCCAACACCGGTCCTCCAGTTCGAGCACCGCTTCCGGCCGCTTCGCAGCTAAGGAACGCTCCTCAGCCGCGACGAGCCCGAGAAAATCGGCGGCAGACGGCGGTCGACCTCTTCCTTCAGCACCCTTGCCGGTACTGGGTGCCGATAGGGAGGCGTCCTCCTGCACCTCCATTATGTCCGAGTCCTCGAATGACGGTGGGAACCCGGACACTCCGGCGAATAGTGGAGAGCGAGAGCGCTCCTTCGCCGGCTTCTTATTCTCGTCTTCCTTAGGAGGGGCGCCACCCGCGCTCACCCTCGTAAGAGAGACTTGCGCCCCGAACATCTTCCTTGCCCCCATGGCAAGTACGTTCTGCGCTTCTTCGCAGTCGTAGGTTCGCCCCCCACCCCTGCGGTGCAGGCGGAAGGTAGCCCATCACGGGATAACGACGAGGAGGTGCCTGGGACGGCAACACCCCCACGCCGGGCCTTGAGTGTCCGATCACTCTAGGCCGGTACGTTCATCTCTTCTTCTGAACTGTCCATCATA